TATAATTTCTATATTTAATTTGTGATTGCTATTATTAGGTGTAAAACATAATTTGTGAAAGAAAAGTGAAGTACAGAAGAGACTATACCAAAACAACTAGTGTAATAGAATTTGTCTTTAAAACTTAAACATTTCCATTTTAAAAGTTTTTTCTGTGCATATATTGGAGAAAAGTAAATTTGCATGTAAGTATAAATAAGTGATAATTTAATTTTTTGGTTCTATTTTCCCTATAACATTTCCATGCTCTTTTTGAATATATAAAAATAAATGATTCAATATTTATGAATGTTATTCTAAGACTTTATGTTCTTTACATGCATTTTTTAAACCTACTTTACAAAGGTATGATGGACATGTAAAAGGTTGTTATGTATACAACCAGTGAGTTTGGGGATACATATATACTTGTAAAACTCACCACCATCATGGCTCCAGATATATCTGTCACTTCTCAAAGTTTTTTCTGTTTCCCTGATAATGCTGATGAATATTATTATTGATAATAACATATAAAATCTGCCCTTCTAGAAAATTTTACACATACAATACAGTATTGTTAGTGTTGGCATTATGCTATATAGAAGATATCTAGAATTTCTTTATCTTGCATAACTGAAACTTTGTTTTCTTAGGTATTATTTTTATTGGTATGGATTTTTATATCAAATTGCCAGACATGCTGTGTGCCATGATGCCTGTTGCATTTATTATTTGTATACCAATAAGCAAGTTGTTTGTATATTGGGCTTTGAGATCTGAAACTGATCAATTTATCTCTTTTCCTGACCTTTCCCAACAACTTATTTCTCTTGTGGGGGATGATGGTGGTGGTGGTGGTGGTGGTGGTGGTGGTGATGATGATGGTGATGATGATCATCATCATGTGTCCATTATAGTGTTGTGTGTACTGTGTGGTGAGAACACTCTGCAACATGACATTATGATTTGTTTTTCATCATTTGTTTTATTTTTATACCTCTGCTTATTACACTGAATGAGACAGCTACTAGCCGGGATGATAGCAGAGCCTGCTTTTCTCTCTGAGTATACTATCTTTGCTTTGGATTCCTCCAAACAGCCTAAAACACAGAGTGACAGTGTGGTGAGTTCTTCCACCGCTTTCTGCATTCCCTCTGTGGGGAAGCAACATCATTTGGCAATTGTTGCAGCAAGTCTTACATTGCTTGTAACTTACCTTCTTTCAAAGCACTTTCAGTGTCCTGTTGCTAACACTGCTCTAAAAAATCAGAGAGTAAATTGCTGGTGGCTGGTGTGCTTTTTGGTAGCTTCATAACAGCAACAAAATAACACTTTTCACTAATATATTGGAGGCTGCCTTCACTTGGTCTAAACTATTAAGTTTTCTCTTTGGGAATGCTGGGTGATTGATTTTGAAAAAGGTATGCATTGGTGGAAACTTCTGTTCTATTGGTAAGAAGCCAAGAATATTTTGAGATGTGACTCATATTTTCAGGGGAAAAAATGTTATTGTATAACAGCAGATAGGTAGGTTCTACTACAACAAATAATCTACATTATTTTGCAGTTATAACAATTATAGTTCTCTGAGCATTGAACATCTGAAAGGAAATAATGATTTTACTTTTTAAATTAAACTCATGTAATTTTTATTTTGGAAAATTGGACATTTTCCTATTTACCTGGTAAATCTGTAACTTATCTATAAAAATTTAGAATGTTTGCCCAGTAAGGATAGCTTTTGATGTTAGATTGGACACTAACCGAACTGGGACGGCAGTTTTTCACAATAAGAACTGATTTAACTTATTAGATAGCTTATGGTAAAAGTAGCACTTTCCTGTACTTAAGTCCTCTGTAGCCAATGAAGTCTTGTTTGCATATGGCCAGTAGCCATTTTTAATTATTTTTTAAACTTGGTTTTAGGGAAGAAAACAACTCAGGTTGAAAATGGAATGTCTAGTGATATCTTAGAAACTGGTCTCAAGGAAGATGATTTTTCTTTGGCTTTGGCTACAAGTGACATCTGTTTTCAAAACTGATTTGGGAGTGAGTCAGGAATCCCATTTGGAAGTTACCAGTTCACTTTAAAACAGAGATTGATCTGCTTTATACTTTACATAGTAGTAATAGAACCTTTTTTTTTTTTTTTTTAAGGAACTGCATATGGCCCCATTTCCATAAATATGAAACATTAAAATCACTTGTAATGAATATCTATCCTGTTGTCAAAAATGCTATTTAATGTAAAAGTGGGAGCTTTAGAATTATTTAAAAATAAACTTAAGTGGACTAAAAAAGTTTTCTTATTAAATTTGTATTTGTTTTGATAAAAACTTATTTTTCTCCATGAAACAAAGAGAAACTATATACTAATCTGTTATCACAATAAAAATTTAGTGTCTAATTCCATCATGAGTTTACCAGGTGCTGACTTTTCTTTCAGTTTTTTAAAAAAGATATCTCTTTACATTACATTCTAAAAATTGGTGTAACCTTAGTGCTCAGAAGTTCATAAAATGGTTATAGAGAGATTGAGGGGAAAAAAGGTAATTGCAGACAAATTTGGCAGGGAACTTGTGTGTGCTTTTTAATTAAATACACACTTAAAGAGTTTTCCTGTTAACCTAAGAATTTCTGGAGCTGGGCACAGTGGTTCACACCAGTAATTCCAATGATTTAGGAGGCCCTAAGTAACTTAGTGAGACCATGTCTCAAAAACAAAAACAAAGGACTGGGGATTTAGCTTGGTGTTAAAGTACCCCTGGGTTCAATCCCCAATAAAACGCCCTCCCCTCAGAAAAAGAATTTCTTCCAGTGGAAAATATTGGTAAACTCAAGTATTGACATTTATTGAGCAAGTTCTTCAGGCTTCTGTCTGGGAGAAGGTCTCTCAGAGGTCTTATTCTGAAGGAAGTGACTGCACAAGAGTTTAACAAGCATTCATCAGGAGCTTATTAGGTAGAATGTAGGGCCTGGGTACCAAGATGAAAACACAGGGTTCGTGTCCTCAGAGAGTTTAGTAAAGAGAGATATTAACATATATATGTAGTAGAAAGGAATTATGGCTTCATAGAAGAACTACAGGCATGGAGAATATGCTGCAGGTAAGCCATATGAAGCTTCACAAAGAAAGGGGCATGTGAAAATTAAAAAATGAAGGGGAATTTACCTGGAAGAAATGGCAAAAGCATTACAGATAGTGACAAAATCACAAATTTTGCTCCTAGAGATTTTCAATTTAAATTTAGGCCAAAATTAGTATTTTAGACTAACACTTTGTTTAGCTGTCCTGCATTTATTTATAATACATAAACTGTCCCATATATAAACTGAAATATTTGAAATATATTTGTAGGGAGGAAGAGTTTTTAAATGTGCTATGTGTGTTAGATAGGTGATATTTCAGGTAGTTGTTCAGCTTTTTTATAGGGACCACAATCATGTGTCAAGTAATTTACTTAGAACAGGGACCTTCACTCTTCTTCCCAAGCTATTTTATAAAGCCCTTTCATTTTCTTTCTTCATAGTTTAACCATTGCTTTTCAGTGTAGTATATTTTTAGGGCTAAAAAGAATTCATTGTGATGATGCATAAATATATGCCATATATGCAATTTGTAATTCTTTGAAATGGCAGAGAACAGGAAGATAAAAGTTAATTCCTGTGTCTTCCAGCATCTTTTCTGTGTAACTTTAAGCAATGTCTTGGACTGATAAAATTTACTAACTTTTTATTTAGTGGGAAGAGAATATACTTAAAATTTTTTTATTAAAGAAAAATTTAAGCATATTACAAAAGTACAAATAGTACTAGTGGTAGAAGAATTCTGTTCTCCTATCCCCTTATCTATTACCTAGTGTCAAGAATTAATAACTCATTATCATCCAGTTTTATCTATTACCATCCTACTCCTATGTTTCCCTAACCACACCACTACCACCCTTCCTCATATGAGCCCCCCCCCCCCACCTTTAGATATTTGAAGCAAATTAAACTTATTTTGTCTGTAAATATTTTGGTATGTATCTCTGAAAGATAAAGACTAAAATTTGAAACCACAGCAGATTTATCACACCTAATAGTTAATTTCTTCCTATTAAATACCTAGTTTGTGTTTAGAAATCTGGGAACACATTGCAAAATTGTGTTTTCTCCACTTATGTTTATGACATGTTAGATCAAACATTTGTCATTTTTTTGGTGGGCTGTAGAGGTAGGGAAGCATTCTTCAGCTAACCAGTTACTGAAACACAGTGGCCAGTGCCCTGTGGAATGCTTTTGTTTGAAACATGGAATTATTTTATCATGAGCTACTTCTGTAATACTAACAACTTGTTGGTAAGACTCAGTGTAATATAGAATTGTGAATCTCAGGGAATCATATCACCTATGAAATCAATGCTATGATGTAATCAGAATGTTGCTTAACTTGGAGCATTGTCATACCAACAGAACAAAACAAAAGCTTTTACATGGAAAGAAGAGATTAGTAATTTTCTAAAAATGGTGGCAGTAATTTCTTTTAAATTGCTGGCTTCAAATGAATGAGGCATTTCCATTTTGTTATCAAGATATTTTTCATAGCTTAAATAATTTGAATATGATTTTATTGTAGGGAACAACTAACATTATAATTCTTTTTCTGGATAATTTTCTATTTGAATGAGTTGTGCTAATTGAATCCCCATTCCTTTTTGTCATGGGGAAAAACTTGGGGACATAATGGGAAGAGGTATGTGATTAGTTTGAAGTAAATTTTGTTACATACTAATCATTGCTATTTAGGTCCATATGTTACACAAAATGAATTTTCTAAAATACTTACTATACTAGTTTTGCCTTGCATGAAAGCATTCTAATAAATGAATAATTTTTTTTTTTACTAATTTTGTTTAATTGGTAAATGTGTCTAATAGGATTTGGCACTTAGACTTTGTTCTTAACAGTTTTAAAACTTGAGTTTTCTGTTCTTTTCTTTTTTTTTTTTTTTTATGATATTTTTTTCTTTTTCTTAGAATGCATCTATCCATGTCACAAAATCTCCCGAAAGTGTTAATGGAAGTGAACCAACCACTCCTCAGGTCTGTTACTAATGATATTTTTTTAAAAAACTAACTTTGGAGTAATTTGACCAATGTTTGTTAATTATAAGTATTTGATTACATTATAAGAGTGATGTCCAAATATTTGATATAGTATGTATGGTAAATACAGGTTTGTTCAAAATTACTTGGAAAAAGTTTCAAGTGAAAGCAAGATTCTCTTATGCCACATTTAAAAAATTAATGACAGTGAAGTGAAAACGTTGAAAAAATGAAATCTTACTGTATAATTGTAAAAGATTGTGGGGATAGCCACATTGTGAGACATGGTGAATTATATAATCTGAAGGATGAATATGAAGGAAGTGGGATTTATTTTATTAAAGTTTGCTCTAATGCAAAGTGTTTTACTTCTAGAGAATTAAGGTTATCCTTGATTTGAAAAATTACATGTAGAGTAGGGCTCAGGTGATTTTTTTTGACTCCTTAAAAAAATCATAATGATAGTAGTGTTTGAGGTAAACATGTTTACTTTGGTTTAATGTTGATAGTTATCATTAACGGTTAATCGTAATGGACACATGTGAACTAAGTACCAAGTTTATGGGAAGCACTGTGGCAAGGGTGTGTGTTTGCACCTGCCACAATAATAGGAAAATAATAATAGGGCTTATGTATATAAGGCACTATTCTGAGTGTTTTAAATGTTTTCACTCACCAAATCCTCACAACAACCCTATTAGGGCAGTGCTATAATCATTCCTACTTTACAAATGAAGAGTCATCTCAAGGGGACCCTTGTTTCTTTAACTTCTTGTCTCTCTGGCTATCATTGCTCCTTGTGTTTCACCCTCACAAAGACAAGTTGGCCTTCAAAAATTACATCTCCCATTCTTGGGAGGAAAGAGTAAAGATTAGGACAAAAGGTATATTTTGTTTTAACAGAAAAACAACAACTGCCCCAAAAGATTACATCCTATAGATTTTCTTTTATAATGTCTATTACTGAATTTTGTCAAATGGTCTACTCTTGACTGAAAGAGTGTGAGAAAAATTAAAAAGTAAAAAATTTAGTAATTGAAATGTAACAGTATCATAATTTAATATTTACAGAAAAGGATGATTTATTCATTATACAAATATACCTTTGTACCTAGCTCCCGGAGCCTACAAACAAATTGTTAGCACCCGCTGGGGAGCCCTTGTTCTCCCTTCCATTGCCTTCCCTCATTCCTAAGGATAATTGTCTTGGCTTTTAACACTACAGGTTAATTTTGCCATCTTGGGAACTTGATGTAAGTGTGCACTTTTGTATCTGCCTTATTTAGCTCAGTGCTCTATGAGATTTATCTGTATTCTCTGTAAATCATTCATTCCCATTGCTGTTTTAAGTTTCCATTGGTGAACAGGATTGACAGCTAGTGTTTGAACAGACTAAATTTTTTTTTATTATCCAGTCTATAGATTGACATCAATAGTATTTATATATTTATACATTTCTGTTGATATATAGTTAACAATGAATTGGTGGTTCAGAGAGGGTACTTGTGCGTTAGCTTTAGTAAAAATGTTAAATCTTCTTAAATATGGATTAAATATATACTCATTAATGCTGTATGTTTTCCATAGTTTTAATTTTAGCCATCCTGGTGAATGTGGGGTGATACCATGTTGTAATCTTTGATTTGTATTTGAGAAGGTGAATATTTTTACCTGGTTGTATTGTTACTCAGAACAAAACTGGGGTGGAAGAAAGGCAGATTGGATATCAGGTGATAGTATTCATATCACGTCAGTTATGGTTTTATGTATTTCATATATATTAATTTATTATTCCTCAAAACTACCATATGAAAGGAGTGTTACTGTTATCCTCATTTTAAGTAGGTAGAAAGAGTCACAGAGAGGTTATGTAACTTGACTAAAGTCCACAGCTAGTAAATGGTAGAGCTATGTAACTACACAGACTTATGCCTAACAAGTCTGGCTTCATAGCCTGTGATCTTAGCTCTTATAACTAGGATAGCCTGCCACTTAAACTGTAATGACATTCTTTTTTTGTGTGTGTGGTTGGTCCAAGGGCCCCATGTATGCTAGGCAAGTGCTCTATCATTGAGCTACATCCCCAGCCTTGATGACATTCTATTGAACTTGAGATCCTCTTGCCTCAGCCTTTTGAGCCACTGAATTATTTTTAAAGTCTTTTTTTCCCTCTGTGATGATAATTGTTAATGTTTGTATATTTGCCACATTGTAAGCACTTTGTATGTATGAGCTCATTCAGTCTCTTGGGTAACTATACAAGGTGGATAGTGTCTTCATCACCATTTTTATCCCCATTTTATGGAGAAGGAAGTAAAACTATTGAGATTAAGTAACTTGCTTAAGGTCTGCAGAACATAGTGCAGAACTTGGTGTCCTTAAAACTTGTTTCACCAGTTTATAGTGTGTTATTTTATGGGAAGATTGTCTGCTATGAATTGGAGCATTTTTCACATGGGTCAGAAGTGACTGGTGATGGAGTTATCTGTAAACAGTTCTTGAGTTTTTGAGCATGAAGGATTCTTCTTTAAGACCTCCCTACTTGCCCTCATTATGAAGATAAAACTTGCACATTGTGAAAAAACACCAGAAAGTACAGAAAAATAAAAATGAAAATAAAAACCACCCCAAATCCTACTACCACTCAGACACCATTAACCTGTGGTATTATCCTTCATGACTTAGTTCTAAGGATGTTTATGAAAATGTACATATAAATTGAAAAGTACATGTAATTACTTTAAGTCAAAATCAATTCACACTCTACATGTTATTTTATAATTCAATTTTTCCCATTTAATTGTAATAGCTTGAATTTCTTTTTACATACTATCAAACCTCTAGTGACAAACATTTGGATTATTTTTAGTTTTTGCTCTTATAAACAACCTGTGTGCATACGAAGAGGCCATGGTGTGCTCTCCCCTCTTATTTACTCCCATTTTCTCAAATCCTATAATTAAATTTCTAAAATCCATAAGTAAAACATTTCTGTTTTGATTTTTAAAATTGTATGTCAAAGATATTATTTTTATTTTCCTGTAGTCTTTGCCTACACATCACCATGTTCTCCCCTGAGCATTTATTTCACTCCTGCATCCCTTTCTTTTCCTCTGTCCCTTCCCCCTCTCTCTTTCTTTCTTTCATCTTTTTATAATTTTTTGAGATGCTGGGATGGAACCCAGGGCCTGGCACATGCTAGGAAAGTGCTGTGTCACTGAACTACACAGCCCCCACCCCTGGCACTGTTAAGACCTTCCTGGTGACCCTGTTGTTGCACTGAGTTTCTATGAAACACCTTCTAAATACTAACTGCTGTCACCTGAACAGAATAATCCTGCTTGAATAGTTAGTTGAATTATATTGTATTATTTTTCATTGTTATTCAGATTTATTAAGAGAACAGTCTTCCATATTGCTTTTTCTGACATTGAACTTACTGAATGGTATGGAGGTCTCTATTTCAGACTGTTCAGCTATTCTCCATGATTTCTTGTTTTTATTCTCATTTCAAAGAATAATAAGTAGGGCAGAGTTGTTATATCATAAGTCAACTCTACCTCACATTCTCTATTTAAACAAAATGGGCTCATTATACATTATTATCCTTCTGCTTCCATTCTCCTCTCTTGTTGAGGATGATCAGGAATCCCCATCTTCATAGATTCTCCTTGTAAAACCCAGTTGAATTCAGTTACATTCTACATAATATTTAAGCACTGGATGTATACTAGTGATTCAGATTTTATATATAATTGGCCACTGCATTAAAGATCTTATAAATTAGTGGATGAATCCTCACAATCAACCTATGTGGGGTCAACTGGGGAAGCATGGCTTCCTTTATTTATTTGATTTTTAAATAGATATACAAACTGAAGGAAAGTGACTTAGTAAAAGTCATTGTACTGCTGGACCTGGGTGACAGACCTGGGACTTATACCACAGTCCTCTACCTCCAGGTCAAGAGCTTTTTCAGAAATAAGTGAATGCTTATTTTTTAGCAATGGTATTTTTGTAAAGTCGGGAATATAAACTAAATTCATCAGGGCTTTTAACAGGTTATTGCTGTTGATTGGGGAATGATGGAAGTCCAGATGTACATATTTTAATCCACACACTCTGTTGGGTTTGATTGCAGTCAGGTGACATTCCCACTTTTGCACAGAAGCTTCAGCTCCGGGTGCCTTCCGTGGAGTCTTTGTTTCGAAGTCCGATAAAGGAATCTATATTCCGATCTTCTTCTAAAGAGTCTTTGGTACGAACGTCTTCCAGAGAGTCCCTGAATCGACTTGATCTCGATTATTCTTCTGCTATCTTTGATCCACCCTCTGATATGGAGAGTGAGGCTGAAGACTCACTAGGGAATTCAGACAGTCTCAACAAAGAACAGTTGATTCAGCGGTTGCGAAGAATGGAACGAAGCCTAGGTAGCTACAGAGGAAAATATTCTGAGGTAGGAGCATAATCTTTTTACTATGTAAAAATTTTTTCTTCTTATTCATATTTCTGTATTGCTGTTACTCCTGTGGCTGATTAAACCATTGATCCCCTACATACTCTCGTTACTAATGGTAAGTAGTCTATACCAATATCTAGTTAGATTTTCAGTGGTACAGAGGGTTTTTGGCAAGACAATTGGTAAAACCTTGGAGAAGACTGTTGTTTATAGCCTCTGGTTCTCATATTCTGTTTTTCTTTCATTTCCTAGCCTCCATCTCGATGTCACTTAGATACCCAGCGTAGAGAGGACATCCTGTTTCCCTACCATATTCCCTACTTTATTCCCTCCCTTATTTACTCTAGGGATGGTGGCTCCCAAAAGGATAAGGACAGTGGCTCTTCTGCCATCCAAATCCCTATTATTGCTATATTAAGAAGTCTGATCATCTAGCAGATTTGGTTCTTTTTCATTGTACCTACATTTAAACTTTTGCCTAAATTGAATCTTTTTCTTTTTTCTTTTGGTGTCAGGGATTGAATCCAGGGGTACTTAACCACTGAGCAACATCCCCAGCCCTTATCTATCTATCTATCTATCTATCTATCTATCTATCTATCTATGGGTACTGGGGATTGAACTCAAGGGTACTCAACCACTGAGCCACATCCCAGCCCTATTTTGTATTTTATTTGTTTGTTTTAATTAGGTATGTATGACAGCAGAATGCTTTTGATTCATTGTACACAATTGCAGTACAACTTTTCATTTCTCTGATTGTACACGATGTAGCATCGCACCATATGTGCAGTCATACATGTACCTAGGGTAATGTTGTTATCTCATTCCACCATCTTTCCTGTTCCCATGCCCCCTCTTTCCTCCCTTTTGCCCAATCAGAGTTCCTCCATTTTTCTCATGCCCCCTCCTCCCTACTATGGATCAGCATCCATGAGAGAACATTCAGCCTTTGTTTTTTTGGGATTGGCTTACTTCACTTTATTTTGTATTTTATTTTATTTAGAGACTGAGTCTCGCTGAGTTGCTTAGCGCCTCGCCTTTGCTGAAGCTGGCTTTGAATTCTTGATCCTCTTGCCTCAGCCTTTATAGGCTTGTGCCACCGTGCCTGGCCTTTATTTTTTATTTAGAGAGAGGGTCTGGATAACTTGTTTAGGGCCTCACTAAGTTGCTGAGGCTGGCTTTGAACTTGTGGTCCTCTTAAGTCTCCTGAGTCACTGAAATGACAGGCCACTGCACCTGGCCTAAAATGAATCTTTTAATTGCCAGACCCCTTGAGGATGGCAGACACACCCTGTTTAATGTAAGAGAGAAAAGTAGTGCTGCTGCATTTCTCAGTTCTCTTTCAGGAGCATAGCACCTTCCTTTTAAGCTAAATTGTATTGGTTGCCTTCCATGCTGTGCATGTAAAGCAATTCTTCCTCAGAAAACCTTTGTGGAATAGATTGTTCACAGCTTTTTGTTTGTCTGTCTTAATAGATAATATTTATTTAATGGTTTGTAAGCAACATCACAGTTAATTTTAATTAATGAATGCTAAAGTTCAGAGTTAGTGGATAAAGTTAGCTAAAACTTCTATTTCCAATTATGAGTATAATAATGAGTGGTTTCACCCTGTATTTGACACCAAACCAAACCAAAATAAAAAACCTTGATGAGATATATAAAATATCTTTAAAAGCAAACAAACAAACAAAAATATGCTGACAAGATAGAAAAGATTTATCAGGCTAACATCTAAAGGCTGGCTTGAACCCAGAGGATGTAATGTAAACAGGGCATGAAAGTCATGTGTATTATGAAGGGCTTGTAGAATCAGACAACTTTTTCCTTTATACATTTTTTAACTTTTATTTTTTATTTCCACCAAAGTTAATAATGGTTTTGAATCTTTTTGTTATTTATATTTAAGTTACTTTCACTAACTTACCTTAGCCCCACCCCCATCCCCCATTCACCTTCATACTTTATGGCTGAGCCACATCCCTAACCATTTTTATTATTATTTTTTTTATATTGAGCTCGGACTCGCTAAGTTGCTTAGGGCCTTACTAAATTGCTGAGGCTCTTTGAACTTGTGATCCTCCTGCCTCAGCCTCCTGAGTTGCTGGCACCACCATGCCTGGATCAGACACTGTATTTTATAATGTCATTTAATTTTGAATCATCCCTCGGAATTAGATGTTTGTTGAGAGCCACAGCGGAAGGGGCCCCAGCAAACTTTCAGACTGCCAGCTGATGATTGGCTCACAGCGGCCCCAGCAACTTCTAGCTGATTGGCTCCTCTGCGGTGATGCTCATTGGGCTGTTTCCCCGCCCTTTCAGACTACAGAGCTGCCCATTGGGGGACTTTTTTTGGCTCCGCCCACACGACCCAGGCAATCGGCCTCAAGAGCAGGAGGAGTGGGGGAGGTTGAGAGGCTTGTGGGAAGCCTGTGGTGGCAGTTGGGCTCTGAAGGTTTTTCTTGAGGAGCTGTTTTGTTTGGCCTGTGTAGTTCTAAAAATAAAGTTCATTTCTTTTGACAAGTGGCTCCTGAATTGTGCCCAGCCAGACTGCCGCATTAATCATGTAGGCTGGGTATTATTAGTAACTGTGCTATTCTATCTCCTGGTGAAATTACTGATATACCCTTTGGAGAACTGGCTATAATTTTTATTTCACCTTCATAATCGGGATCAATTACCCCAGGATTTATCATAAGTCCTTTTAGAGTAGAAGAGCTGCGTCCCAGTAATAAGCCTACTGTTCCTTTGGGAAGAGGTCCTTTTACCCCTGTGGGAATGATTTTTTTTTTTTTAATTTATTTTTTAGTTTTCAGTGAACACAACATCTTTATTTTTTTTATTTTTATGTGGTGCTGAGGATTGAACCCAGCACCCCGCGCATGCCAGGCGAGCGCGCTACCGCTTGAGCCACATCCCCAGCCCTCAGACACTGTATTTTATAATGTCATTTAATTTTGAATCATCCCTCTGAATTAGATGTTAATTAACTTTATTTTGTAGAAAAGGGATTGGAGACTCAGAGATTAAGTAACTAGCTTAGGTCATACAAGTCTGAATTTGGTTATAAATCTTTCTGGTTGTTTGTACTATTTGGTGCTATCTCAGAAAATCAGACATCCTATTAGGGATAACACCTCTGTCTTTACCTCTGCTTCTTTTGCCACTGAAGGTACCTAGGATAAAATAGTGCTATAAGTGACATGTAGTTCTTGGGTTACTCTTCCTCCTCACCCTACTTCCTTTTTGAACACCATTGTTCTTTTTGGCCTGAAGATAATGAGGAGAGGGTTCCTGGTGTATTTTTTTTTAATTTTTGTATTCTTGTGTCTTTTGCTAGACTTGCCTTCTTTTGTTGCGTGTCTTTTGACTCAAAACATCAGTAGTGACATTGGGGACCCACAGCAGCCTTCCAAGGAAAATGACAAGCCTCATAATAGCGGGTTAAAGCTGTGGCCTGACTCCTCAGAGACCACTAGCACTTCTACAGTGGAGTTCAAATAATTCTTTGGAGTCATATGTTTTGCTTGCAGATGTGTAATGCTATAATTTACAGTTTCAAAAAAATTTGTTAATCCTTAATTTCATCTAGTTGTGTTTAATGTTTAAATCTCCTATTTAGGTTAAATATCTCTTTTGGATTTGAATTACCAGTTTCTGTCTGTTGGTTATGAGTTTCTTTCATCGGTTTTTTATAGAGCCATAGTCAGAGATCTTATCACCAGAAGGAACTTTCAGAGATCATTTGCATCATTTCTTATAGCCCAAAGCAAAAAAAAAAAAAAAAAAAAAAAATCACTGGAGAACTGCTTAAAACACAGATTCCTGTTTTTCTCATCCTGTCTTCCTCAATTCTCCTTCAAATAGTTAAGGGGGGTGGTCAGATTTTTCATTTCTAGCAAACTCCAAGGTGAAACTATTGCTAATGTAGTCTATGATTACAGTTTGCCTTTAAGCAAGTTGGTGCTAATCCTCATCTATGAATTAGGTACTGAAATCTAAAGAGGTGCTTAAGGTGAAGTCACATATAATCAAGTTACCTTCTGTTTTATTTATTTATTTATTTTTAAAGAAAGCCACTCAGAATGTGTTCTCTCCCTCTTAATCTCTAAGAGAATTAAGAACGATCATCAATGGCAAAAGGCAGTTGCAGTAATGCAACTCTTAGAGCCAGCTTCACACTCAGGGGAGAACATTCAACTCCTCCTCGTGGTTGGTTTCTGGTACTCTACACAATCAGAGAAACTTCTTTAGTAACATACTATAGAAATGATCCCTGAAAGTATAGTCTTTAGTTTTTTTTTTTAACATTTTTAGTTGTAGTTGACATGATATCTTTATTTATTTATTTACTTTTTTTTAATGTGGTGCTGAGAATTGAATCCAGTGCCTAACATATGCTAGGCAAGTGCTCTACCAGTGAGCTACAACCCCAGCCCTACCTTCTAATTTTTTAGAAATGTATTTTGTAAAAAGATATACTAACTATGTTATATAATTTTAACTGTTACACATTGAATTAAATTGAGTGATCTATAAAGGAGTCTTCTAATTTGTTTATCTTTTGACTTTTATAAAGAGATGTTTTGGTAGAGTTAAGAATGATCGTGTTAATAATGTCTAATGTTATTTGTGACTTTATTTTAGCTTGTTACAGCTTATCAGACTCTTCAGAGAGAGAAGAAAAAGCTACAAGTAAGTGATTTTTGGGGGGCTGTTATTAAGTCATATATAATTTTAAAATAAGTCTTACAGTAAGATATTTCTAACTCATCCTTAAAAAATTCTCCAAATAATCGCAGTATCTAACCCAGTAAAATAATTTCTGGCGGCTTTGCTAAAGAGATCCAGAGATTTTACCTCTTCTGGGGCACAAGTTTTCCTCAGAGATCCCTGCAATGTTTAAGAGGTTTTAAGGCGTTTTTCTCTCTTTCAAGCACATTGCCTAGTATCTCAGTCTCTGTCTGCCCATTTCCTCTGAAGGGGAGGTATCTATCGTTTTGTTTTTGCAGTGCTGGGAATCAAACTCAGGGTTCTACCTGCTAGGTAAATGCTGAGCTACATCACCATCCCTGACACCCAGCCTTCTATTTATTTCCTTTTTAAAATTCTGTGGTAACAGGAATTGTAGTGCTGTTCTGCCACTGAGCTATGTCCTCAGCTATTTTTATTTTGAGACAGGGTCTTGCTAAGCTGTAGAGGCTGGCCTTGAATTTGTGATCCTACTCCCTCAGCCTTCCAAGTAGCTGGGATTACTGGTGTGAGCCATTGCACCCAATGCATTTAAAATTTAGCTTTAAAAATTTACTGTTTTTATAATTAATGTACAGTGAAACTGATATTCTGTTTGGTATATGTCTACATAATTTAACAAATGTCTGGGTAAACACTCCCACATGCAGAGCAATTTTATAATATCATGATTTACCTTTTTACATATTTTCAGCATGGTATCAACACTTTCAGTCCTGTCTTCCTTATTCATCTTATTTGGATTAAGACTTATAATATTTTAATATCACTATTTTAAACTTTCTTTGTATTACTACTATACCATGCAGATGTTTAATCAGCTTTTTTTTTTTTTTTTAAATTAAAGGGTATATTAAGTCAGAGTCAGGATAAAGCACTTCGGAGAATTGGAGAATTAAGAGAGGTAAGTTTTCGTAATTATTACTCTGAGAATGGTAATTCAGTCTCTTAAATTTTTTAGAATGATAGTACATGCTGGGGGGTGGGCAGTTTCACATGCATGTAATTAGTTATGGGAGTAACTAACCAGCTCAGCCTGTGAGACCACAGATCAGCTCTTCGTAGGGGCTAGATTGAGCTCCTTTATGTCTTACTGCAGGCCACATGTACCCACCTGCTATGGGAGTGGGCAAGACCACTCCTGGTTTCACCCACTGTCTCAAATCAGCCTGCTGTGCTTTGCAGTGAGTACTTATTGCTTTTTTCCAGTTCTTTGGTTCTTAAGTCCATCTGTTAGCTTATTGCTTCCTTCTAATTTATCCTATATAAATCCCAATAGCATGCATATTTCACTGCTGTTGGTTCTTTCTCCCCACCCATTTGTATTGTGGCCATTCATGGGAAATATTTTGTCGCCTATTTTTGTTGTGAATGTTCTTCATGGGTTTGTACTTTTTGTTACTTTATTACCCATCCCAGGGTTTTTGAGAAGTTTGAAACAGATGGCTTTATGGCAAATCAGAGTAATTTTAGAATTTATGTATTGTAGGGCTTGAGATGTAGTTCCGTGGTAGTATGCTTGCCTAGCATGTGCAAGACCGTCAGATAGATTCCTAGTACTAGAAAAAAAATATGTATTTTAAGTGTGTAATTTGTGGAATTTATCAGTTCAAATAGTATAGTGTATGTTGAAAGTATAAATAAGTTTGAAAAGGATCAAGTAGATTAGTAAATCTGCAAATAGCAATTGAGAAATGCTGGTGTATTTGTGAAGGAGGCAAAAAAGAAAAACATGGGAGTATTATTTTCTTTAAAGCATTGATATCATCAACACTAGCTACACTGTTCCACAGAATATCTTTTTTGGGTACCAGGGACTGAACTCAGGGGCACTTGACCACTGAGTCACACCCTCAGCCCTATTTTATATTTTATTTAGAAACAGGGTCTTACTGAGTTGTTTAGCACCTTGCTTTTGCTGAGGCTGGATTTGAAGTTGCCGTCCTCCTGTCTCAGACTCCTGAGCTGCTGGGATTACAGGCATGCGCCACCGCGCCCAGCACAGAATATCTTTTGTTGTTATTAATGATAGTTCATTGTCTGAGTTAACCATCAGTACTAATCATGTAGATATTTCTTATATTACATTATTAATATTTTATCCTTATTTATAGTATGTTTGATTATCAGTAAGATTGATATCTAATCTCTTTCAACCATTTTTATATATATCCAAGTTCCTGATGCTTTTGTGAATGATACATAAGAGATTATGTGATTTATCACAGTCCCTCAACAATTCTTTAAAATGTTCTAAAGAGGACTTTGAAAACCAGGGTAATTTTTTTGTTTTGTTTTGTTGACAAGAACAAGCATTGACCTTATGATATAAATAATTACAGTTATCCTTTCTTATTGAAAATCTCTATGGCTTGTTTTGGGTTAATTAATACTTTAGAAAAATTAATACACACTTTTGAAGTGTTAGAGAAGGAGCAAATCTTTAATTTGTAGTCTTCCCAGGACTTTGTATTTCTAGTTCGACTTGGAAGATAGCTAGTGCTCAGAATAGCATGCATGGAGATAGGGGGCATGTGGAAGGATGCTGGGGGAGGTGGGAGAATAACAACTAGAGCATTCTCTCTTTTTTCTCATCCCTCCTGCTTAATATTACTAGAAAGTGCTTTTATAAGCTAAAAACATCTTTGTTTTTACTAGAGAGGCAAATAATATGACACTTTTGCCTACAACATTTTTCTATTAAGCTAATGTTTTTTAGTTTAATATATTCTGGGGCTGGGGTTGTGGCTCAGTGGTAGAGCGCTCGCCTAGCGTGCGTGAGGCGCTGGGTTCAGTCCTCAGCACCACATAAATGTAAAATAAAGATATTGTGTCCACCTTAAAAAAAACCCTAAAAAATAAATATTTAAATATATTTTTCTTCTCATCTTGCATTTTGGAAATAAATAAAGGGTGTTAACAATAGATATATTTCTATTTTGGTTAGAAAATTTAAATGTTCAGGTTTTATACTGATAGTAATGTGCAGCAGACATGTTTGAAGTTCAGAGAGAGTACATTACAGTACATCAGCTTTTGAGGGTGTTCTATATGGAGACACAAGAATACTTTTTTTTCTCCCTGTTGCACTCATTCCCCATTAAGGAGTCTCACTAAGAAAGCTGTCCTCAAGAAAGTACAGCTGAATGGAGAGTGGACTTTATTAACAGATGGGAAAGCATAGATGTAATATTCTTTACTACTGACTCTTAGTAATTTGGGACCTTATAGTTGCAGGGGAATGTAGAGGACACTTAATGTGCCTCAGTGGTTTGAAAATTAATAAGTTTGAAACAGTACAAGGAGTTGTTTATAAGCCCTTGAAATACTGTTTGAAAAGAAATTATTCTAGCAAATCTGTAAGGGATGGATTAAATTATAGGAAGGCTTGAAATAATGAATCTCTCTAGAAGGCTGTTGGTGGAAATTAATCATTCAAAAATCATTGCTAACTGGGCTGTGGTTATAGTTGTGGAAAAAGACCCTAAAAGTTGTAGATAAAATGATAAAAATAATTTAATCTTATGCAGGGATCAATAAAGATAAGTAAAACATGATTTTTAGTATTTTGCTCAGGAAATTAGTGAAGTGGGAATCCTAGAATAATAAAGGGGTTTGGGCAGACTGTTTAGTGTATTCTAGGTGTTTTCCCCTAGCATTCTAAGGGAGTTAAGTGTAAGGGAGAAGCATAGAGCACACAGGACTGAGTCTAGAGGGAGGAATAAAATCAATAGAGGACAAAGAAAAATGTGGCCAGGAACTCAGAGTCAAGGAAAGTGGGTACGTCTGTTGAGATGGTATTTATTGTGGTTGGTATAACAGGGAAATAACTCAGATCATTGGATTCCATTAGAAAGGTTTATTGATGATCCAAAGAAACCAGCATTTTAAGCAATTTTAGAAACTACAAGTTTATTGTTTTATAGATAAGAAATGTTTTTGAATATTTGATGCTTTCATGTTTTCGAAGGAGGGAGACAGTTGGCTTTTTGTTTGGTATATTGTAATTTAGTTTTATATTAAGTGAATATAAGATAATATAAAGCAGTATGGTGTCTTGAAGTAAAGTTTTAAGTGCTCCTTCCATTATTAACAATTTAACAATCATTATAGCTCCAGAAAGTATACACTTTCTTCTTGAATCTTTGTGTTATTTAAGAAACAAAATTATTTGTTGCTGTAAATGTTTTAAATAATGTTAATGTCTTAGATTCTGATTATTCTCTAATTATTGTTGCTGCTACCCTATATTAAGAGGTATGCAAATCTTGATTGATCATGTTTTTAAACTTTAAAAAGTGTGTTTTATACTGAAAACTGCTTGTGAAATCTTTTGTGTTTTAGGAGCTCCAAATGGATCAGCAAGCCAAAAAACATCTCCAAGAGGAGTTTGATGCATCTTTAGAGGAGAAAGATCAGTATATCAGTGTTCTCCAAACTCAGGTAAAAGAGTAAGAGAAAAAAACGTGGAATTTTTTTCAATGAAAAAATACAAAGGTTAGATGGGATATCTAAGGAGTTCCAAATTTTACAAAAAGCCTATTTTAAAAACTTTTGGGCTTTCCTTAATTAATTAGAAGGCTGATTTTTGTTTACTATGTCTTTTGACTAATGATAATATCACTGGCACTAATGATAATATCAATAGCACATGTTAAAATCAATTGCACTGTGAGTGAACTTTTTATTTAATTTTTCCCCTACTATCATAAAAGAATATTGTTTACTATATCCACTGTGTGCTTTAAAGAAAGTTCTGCTGCCATAGTATTTTCCCCCTAATGAAGTACTTCTTTTAGGTTTCTCTCCTGAAACAACGATTACGAAATGGCCCAATGAATATTGATGTATCGAAACCACTCCCTCAAGTGGAACCACAGGCAGAAGTCCTCACTAAAGAAGAGAACACGGAGAGTGATATAGAACCAGTAGGTAAGCTTCATCTTATCCAAAGCCTAATTTAAGAATTAAAGGAGATTGTTAAAGGCTTTTAGAACATGAACAGATAGAAATGGATTGAGATAAATATAAAATGCCCTTGATCATAACATTTCCACCAACAAGCAAGGGTTATTATTATTTTTTGGTTCTTTGTTGTCTTACTTTTATAGGAAAATAAGACTTGTTTTAAGACTTGAAATTTGCATAGTCTGAAAGTAGCACCATAATTTTGTTGTAATTAAAATTTGTTGTGTTACACTGTTTTATTGATAGCAGTAGCTAGATTTCATATGAACAAGTAAGTTCTGCTCAGTTTTAATAAATATGCTATTTGTAATTATTTGGATATTTTAGTTTCTTTTTTTAATTTTTTTTAGTTGTAGATTTTAATTGTAGATGGACACAATACCTTTATTTATTTATTTTTATGTGGTGCTGAAAATTGAACCCAGTGCCTCACCCGTGCGTGACAAACACTCTACCACTGAGCTCCAGCTCCAGCCATGTTTTAGTTTTAAAAATAATATTGCCTCTATAGTTTTATATTTAAAGATGGTGATATTTGCCCTGTTTTTTTTAACTAGAAAAGAAGAAACAGTTAAATTTTATCTTAAAATTTAGTTATTACCCTCCCTATTTTTTGAGTCTTTAAGGTACACGTTCAGTAAAATCCCCACTTTTTATTTTTTAACATTTTCTCTCAAAGAGACTTATGGCCCAACAAAAGTAAATTGTTGGCCAGGCATGGTGGCGCACGCCTCTAATCCCAGTGGCTCAGGAGGCTGAGGTAGGAGGATCATGAGTTAAAAGCCAGCCTCAGCAAGAGTGAGGCACTAAGCAACTCAATGAGACCTTGTCTCTAAATAAAATATAAAATAGGGCTGGGGATGTGGCTCAATGGTCGAGGGCCCTTGAGTTTAATCCTTGGTACCCCACCCCACCCCCCCACCAAAAAAAAAGAAAGAAAGAAAGAAAGGAAAAAGAATTCCTCTCAGGAAATAATTTTTTTATTAATTCATTTGGGATGGGAGCTAAGACATGGGGTAATTTTGTATGACAACAACAATAAAAAGATTATCAAGCTGTCTTTTAAGGAGGATGGATTCAGTTATTGTTAGTGAAATATTGTGCCAGTCCAGGATGGGACTGAGCCACAAAATAGGTGAATGCACTACTTAGTATCTACAGATAAATATCAAACAAATAGTAACTAAGAGTAGAGGTTTGGATGGGCGCCACCTTATTAGCAGACCAGTGTTGTCTCCTCTCTTCTTGATCACACTCAAGAGTATAGCAGAGTTTTGGTATAAGAATATAGTCCTGGGAGTTGGGGGGGTAGCTCAGTGATAGAGTGCATACTTATCATGCGTGAGGCTCTGGGTTCAATTCCCAGCACCAAAATAAATAAATACATAAAAAAATGAACTCCTGTGTATTAACAGACTAACTCCCAGAGTTCCTTTATATTCCTTACTGAGTGCCTCTGCTTATGCTGCTTTATTGTTAGTGGGAGATGAAGCTTCTGCTAAAACACTGGAAATGCTTCAGCAAAGAGTTAAGAGACAAGAGAATCTACTTCAGCGTTGTAAAGAAACAATTCAGTCACATAAGGAACAATGTACACTGTTAACCAGTGAAAAAGAAGCACTGCAAGAACAACTAGATGAAAGACTTCAAGAACTAGAAAAGATGAAGGTAAAAGAGCAAATGAGTTTTATTGTATTTAATTCTGTAGAGCTATATCTACATGCTTCAGCATGGCCTGCAGCTTCTCTGGAAAATCTTCTTCCATCCTCCACAAATAGGATGTAGAGGGTGTTTTAGTTTGGGCACCCAAGTGCCCTGGACTTGATTGCATTTAGCGTACTTATAATACTTCCTATGTATTTTTCTCCTATGTAATATGTATTTCTAGATTACATAAGATGTTTAGAGTTCTCATATGAGGAGAAACTTTGTTAGAGATAAAAATGAATTTTTAACATTTTTTAGGAGCTTCACATGGCTGAGAAGACTAAACTTATCACTCAGTTGCGTGACGCAAAGAACTTAATTGAACAGCTTGAACAAGATAAGGTAAAAACAACAAAATTTATGATACTGAAACTTATCAGGAGGGTCCCAGAATTTACTTTGGAAAGCAGCTAGAAGCATTCATATTTCTGCTTTCTAAATTTTTACAACTGCTTCCATGAAAAATCTTCTTAATTTGTAGATTTATATAACTATTAGCATTAGTTTTATATCATGGGAAGCCAATTTTCTCCATGTTTTCTTGATCTTAGTATTTTAGTTTATAAATTTGAATAATGGTTGCAAAGGAGGTCTGTACTTCTGGTACACATCTACTTTTCAGAGAAAAGTTAAATTAGGTCATTCTAAATGTGAATGGTTTCAGTATGTTCTTTCAAATATTATGAAAGCAGACTAATCTCTCAAACAAGTTGCCTAAAAAGCAAAGTAATAATTTAAATATTAACATAAAGAATTTCTACACATGGATTTTAGGATGTGAGATTGGAGGACTGAGGGATGAATCTTACCTTGGTAGTTTGGAGTTGGAGCGTCAGCGGTAGCTGCATAGCAGGGATGGCTGAAAACTGTTTTGAGTAAACAGTTTTGATGTGTGTTTCAGCCCTAAGTTTTTGGGTCCTTTTCAAAAGCAGCTCCCAGTTCATTCCATACCATCCATCATTTTTTTTAATATGCTAGTTTATAGCTATAGTATTTTAACATATCTTTAAAACAAAGTCTTTTTTTATAAAAACATAACCATATTATCATAATTAATCTAACAATTTAATAAAATTCCTAAAATGTGATCTACTATCTATTTAGTTTCAGATTTTCCTTATTATCTCATAATATTCTTTTTCCTTTTATGAATCAGGATCCAGATGAAGTTGTTTGATTGTACTTGGTTGATACAATCTTTCTTTTTTTTTTTTTTTTTTTTGATACCAGGATTGAACCCAGGAGTGCTTAAATTCTGAGCCAGATCCCCAGCCCATTTTATTTTTTATTTTGAGACAGGGTTTCACTAAGTTGCTAAAGGTTTTGCTGTTGATAAAACTTTAAAGACTTACTTTTAATCTTTAGGTTTGATTTTCCTCTCTGTTTTCTTTTTACATTATGATTTGGTTTTTGAAGAAACTGAAGGCTCATAATTTTGTTTTGAAACTTCTTCTTAAGAATGCTCTTCCACTTACCTGGTTTTTATCTGTCCTTTAATAGTAGCTATCTTGAAGAATCATATTCTAACAAAGGGGTCAGCAGACCCTGCAAGTAAGGTAGTAATCCTCTTAAGACCCTAAAATAGCTACACAAAAGTCTGAACATCTTTTCAAAAGACAAATTGAGCTACCCCATTTTTTGTTAGTACCGAATGACTGATTTAATATATAATAATTTGGTTATCTCCCCCTCCCCCCCTTCCCCACAGCAAAGTCCATTTCTAGTATAGATTATTCACAGAGAGGGAACAGAAGCAACTAGCAAATTGGAAGAATGAGGGTACCTTACTGATAGCTGTAAGGAGTTGTGGTGGAACCAGAGACAGTCTAAGAAGGAAAGAGAAAAACCAGATAGATCTGAATTGCCATCTTGCTCCATCCAGTGGGGCAGCAGGCATCTCATACTCTCAACGGTCTCTGCGATAATCTGTGTATAATAGTACAGATCAATAATTGTACTTTTATTATGATTCTGAACCAAGTTCAAAGGCTGTATTTTCTTCCTTATAAACTGTTTTTTAAGACAGGGAAAATTATAAGACATTTATAGAAAGGTTATAAAATAAATCTTTTAACTAAAAACATATTTTAATGGTTAAAAGATTAAATTTATCATTAAAATAGTAAAATAATTTTTATATAAAAAAGTCCTGATATTATGCCAGTAAACTGAGGCATAGAGCAGAACACAGAGTTCAGAGTATGAAATACTGAAATAATTCTGATGCTATATTTAGTAAGAAATATTTTTTTGCCTTTAAAATTAAGTTTGGACTGTGGTATTGATGATGCAGTTTTGTTTGTGCAAATGCTTTAGAGTTTTCACTTCTGTTTAGGGTATGGTAATAGCAGAGACTAAACGTCAGATGCATGAAACCCTGGAACTGAAAGAAGAAGAAATTGCTCAACTCCGTAGCCGCATCAAACAGATGACTACTCAGGGTGAGGAATTACGGGAACAGAAGGAAAAGTCTGAAAGAGCTGGTAAGAACTCAGAGGTTACCTTTTAGGTTTGCACTCAAAAGTCATTTAAAGTGCTTGATGAGTGTTTTTAAAAGTTGAATATTGGTAAAAATACTTACTGTAGAGACTTTTTATAAAATAGCAAACTGCTCATTACCAAAAGCAGAGGTCAGTAAACTGTGGCCTATGGGCCACATCTAGCCCATGATTTATGTCCAGCCCTTAAGCTAAAAGTGACTTTTACTTTACTTTTATTTTTTTTTTGACACAATATATTTATTTTATTTATTTATTCATTTATATGGTGCTGAGGTTCAAACTCAGTGCCTCATGTGTGCTAGGCAAACACTCTACCATTGAGCTACAACTCCAGCCCCTGATGTTTACTTTTTTAAATGGTTGGGAAAAGAATGAAATGCTATAGAGACTAAATATGGCCTTTAAAACAAGATATTAATATATTGCTTTATAGAAAATTGTGCTTCACCACTGCCTTATAGTACCAAAATTCAGGTTAAAAATTTAGAAATTTTAAATTTTCAAGTAGACACAGCATAGTACTTATTAAATAACTGCTACTTTATATATGCTTTAAACAGAAAGTAAAAGACATAATTTGTTTTTAAAAGGAATAATGAACAATTTAGTGTTATATATAGAATTATGTTTTGATGTAATAAATGATAGTCTGAAAAAAATAAAGATCAGCATAATACTCACTGAGGTCCAGTATCCAGTAATACTAGGAAAGGAGACCTGTTAGAAAGAGAAGAGAGCAGGATGAACTGTGTCTTCATGTCAGGAAGAATGTATATTTTGAGTTGGACCTCAAATAAATTATGAATAGAATGGCCCTAAACAGAGAGTTAGAGACAACAGACATTTCACTTGCTACAAGATCATAAACAGACACAATGATCATAGTGGGCATGTGAATCCACTCTAAAACATTTTTGCCAAAATGGGAAATGAAGTTGGATTGTGAAGGACTTGACTATTGGAGTCTTAAAGACGAGAAGCTGTATTTAGACTCTGGCATACAAGGCAATAGGAAATCAGTAATAGAAAAGCAAAATGTGATGGAAGCTAGAGTTTTATGTATAAAAGATGAAATAGGAAGTCAAACTTGGAAGTAATAGCAGACATCCAGGTTTGAAGGATAAAACTTTAGCTATCTTGACTGGGATGGTGGTTTTGGAAAGGACAGGAAAAGTAGTAGAGTGCAGAATTTGACATCTGGTCAACTTGGAGGAGCCAAAGAAAAGTAGGATTCTATGATGACCTCAGAGTTTTAAGCTTAGGAGACTGGATACTGTGGAGTTAGAATAGGAAATATAAATGGCAAAGTTGAGGATTAGAGTCAGATGATGAGTTTACGTAGGTAATTTGAGTCAATTCTGAGATTTCCAAATGAAACTGATATGTAACATTTGGAAATAAGAAATCTGAACATCTTTCAGGAGTCATTAGCCTAAGGTTGAAGCCTGTGGTTAAATCTGTAGGAAAGACTTTTTACTCCAGAAGAGTGAGTTTTATAATAATAATAATAAGAGTAGTGGCAGTAGGAGCTATTTTAGTTCTACTTGCTGCTGCTTATATGGCCATTATTAATACTGTGGACCAGAGGTTATTTTAGCAAGGCTGTGCTATCAGTGCTTTTTCTTGTATTTACTTGTAATAAGTTCTTGTAATTCTAGAAAATATTCCTAGTATTATCCTCATTTACAAATAAGAAAGCACAAGAACCTATAGGTTAAGTAACATGTCTACATTCATACACAATGGGTAAACCAGGCATTGTAGCTCAGAGTCTGTGCTTTTTATAGAGGTTTTGAGTTTGCAGAGAGAGATGAGAAAAAAGTTACCTCAGGAAGTCATAGGAATTGTGAATAGCTGTGTTTTCTGGCTGAATTTAAGAGATGTTTCAGGAAGTAGGGGAGATAGAATAGTAGGGGAGATAGTTTTAAAAGGCTTTTGAATTTGGTGAGGATTTGATTCTCAGGATGCAATTTTGAGAAATGACTTTTTAAAATTAATTAATTTACTTATTTTAATTAGGTTTATATGGCAGCAGAATGCATTTTGACTCATTGTACACAATTGCAGCACAACTTTTCATTTCTATGTATATGATGTAGTGTCGCACCATATGTGCAATCATACACGGATCTAGGATAATGATGTCCATGATTTTTGAAACCTTATTGTAAGTAAGGTGTTAGAGGGGAATGGGTCTGGCTAAGAGAAATAGTTGGCTGACTATTCATAAATCTCCATCTCCTTGCATTTGTTTTATGGATAAAGTGGTTGGGGAATTTAGTTAATGAATTTGTTCACATTAAATCTATGAATATTTCCTTTTGAAAAGAGGTAATAGACATCTTCTTTCAGAATACAGTCTCTGAAGCCTCATGGGACATTGTGAAACATGTTTCTTTTCTGCAAACAGAAAACCCAGCGCGTAGTCTCAGCTTTTCTTTAAAGCCTTCCCATTTTTATGACTGCTTTTTGTTGACTGTTGTAACCAGTCAAAGGAAATAATGTTGGTCAGGGAATTCAATTTTCTTTTTAAATTGGGGTATACTTTATAAGGAGGTAGGAAATGAAGAATAACTATAATATTGAAAAAGGTAGACGTTAAAAAGGTACATAATATATACAGTTTATTCACATGAGGATAAAATTGTTTTAGATAATATTTCAATCAAATCTTTAATTATACAACCTTTCTTCCTTCTCTGAAACACAGATGTATTTTGTCTTTAAATGTGATTTTCATAAATATATATGTGTATGTATACATGTGTATACACACACACACACACACACACATATACACCAACCACACACACACACACACTTTTTTTTCCCTCTTAGTGCTGGGTTTGAATCTAGGGCCTTGTGTGTGCTAAGCATATACTCTACTGCTGAGTTACAACCCCAAGCCTCAAAACTAAAAACTAAAAAATTTTCATTAATATTTGCTAGCCTGTAAATTGAGAAACTTTTCTGTTTTGTCAAAATAGCAAAAATAAGTATTAAAAGATTTTAATTTTCATTATTGTTATTATTATTTTTTTATGTGTGTGTGGTACTGGGGATCAAACTCAGGGCCTTGCACTTGAGTGCCTTACCACTGAGCTACATCTCCAGCCAAGATTTAAATTATTTAATACATACATTTACTTTGGAAAGTCTCTAAATAACACAGTTATAAATGTTTTGATAGATACTTTTAACACATATACTTGTAATCATAATTATAGAGGGCTATGAAAGTCATAATGGACTCGTTTCACATTTTTAAATCTATACTGAAAACTAGTTTTGCACATAAGCTGCATATCATCTAGTGGTCTTAGATAAACAGAACTTTCCAAATAGAAAATGGTTCTCCATTCAAATACAAAGTGTACATGTTATGAAAGAAAAATTTCAGTTATGTACTTAACATAAGAAAAAAGTCCATGTAAAGGAAGTAGAGTTTCTATACTCTGTGAATATCATCTGGCTTTTGGAGCATGCATTTGCTTTGATTAGATATTTTTCTTTTTCTGAGTAAAATCTCTTGGGATTTAAAGTTTAGAAGCTAAACACTAAGAGTTGGCCATGTAAAGGGAACATTAACATGATTTGCTGTTGTTAGGATTTTATAACTAGCTGTGTCTAAGTTAAACAAATTTTTGTTATCAAAGAAAACAAATCCTTCTAATGCATTTTCACCTGTAAAAAAATGTAGTTCTGATATTGTTAATAGTTCTGGATATGTGGATATTAATAGATAACTCTTGAATTGCTTATTCTGGATGTCAAAATTCACTAAAGAACATTCCCTGCTACTTTACTTGAATCTATGTGCTATCACATTTTTTTTCTAGATAAACCATGATGCCTCCTCTGTGTTATAGAATGCAGGAAATCTGAATGTCTCTGATTTTACAAAGAATAATTTTTGCATGAATTATTCACAAATGTCACGAATCTGGACTTCCACATGTTCTATCAACCTCTAGTACTTAAGTAGTATACTTTTTAGTAGAAATGTTAGGAATATTCTCAATAATATGGTAGTATAGTACTTGATAAAATGAAAAACATATTTGTTACAAACACCTTACTACAACTGTTCATTTTATTACTTTTTAGGTGTTACTTAAGAACAGATGATCATATCTTTTAGTAACAAGATTTTAAACTTGGAGAAATCTGATGATTTAGCTTTAGTGTACAATGCTGTTTTAGGTGCAAGGAAATATTTCCATTCATCTTGAAAATTATATCTTCATGCAGTGCTAATGTAGAATGTTAATGCTATTAAATGTCACAGTGCATTTTGGCTGTTCTGTGAGTGTGGTGTTTATGTGTTGACCAACATGGGAGGTAGGGATAGTTGACTAATTATTAATGCAGTTATCTTTCCAAAAGTTTGGAAAATAGGGAATATGAAAGCCCACCACTGTTTTGGCACACACCTCATGTAGTCCTTTAACCAATACATATTTTAATGTTATTATAATAATATAATTTGTATGTTCTTTATGCCACCATGTACCATTATATTAGAAATACTTCTAAATATTGTTAAGGTATTAACACATTTTAATGGCTGTGTCAAAGAGTAGCACATCATTTACTTGGTAACCATGTTTTTATTGATCCATGCCTAAATTGTTTTGTATTTTTGCTTTTATGAATAATACAATAATGCTGTGATATAGCTTATTCTAGGTTTTAAAATTTCTTCTTAGGATAAGTCTTACCCCTAGAATTTTAGTCTGTTTTCTTAGTTACCTTCAAGCACTTTAAACAGCCATTACAAAAAGGAATCAACATAAATTTAAAAAGTTCTTGTCTACAATTAGGCAAAATGAATAAAATATTCTGCTTGAATTAGGAAAGTCTAAAATACAATATGTTAACTTTCATAAGTTCTTGTTTCCTTTCATGTAAATTGTCTTTGTGAAGTTGTGTTTTATATGCATTGAAAAACTTGGATTAACTCATTCTTTGCTTTTTTTTTT